AGACACAGCAAATGCAAGAGAGCTCTGCTCCTAGGAACTTGCAGTTTAAATGAGCCACAGTGAAGTCTTAATGCAAAATCATAGTCCTGGTTCTACAGTCATTACAGTCCCAATCGGTGTCTTTCTGGATCTGCTGACCGCATGGAATCAGTCTGGATCAGACCCAACCTCGCCGCTGCACCTCTGAGGAACGAGTCAGAGCATACAATACGGGATGGGTCTTTACGCTTGTTTTATGTTTTTATGCCAACTTCTTGTCAGCTACAGGAAGACTGACTGAACTGATGTAACTAACATTGACACAATTGAGGTAACATAAATTTGGTCTGTCAGACTCTGTCCCCTTGTTTTTGGGGGCTGGGTTTTTTTTGAGAACTTTTGATTTTAGCAGAATGGATATATATTAATTCACTGCTTAGTGTTATGTGACTACAGTGTTTTTCTCTCTGTACTAAGGACCCTAAAACTTTACTGGCTCTCACAAAAAACTCTGGCCTAAGCTGTTATCCCATAAAAATGTATGTTTTTAATGATAAGCCATTGGATAGATCCAGTGACTTCTCTGATACTAATAAAATGAAGTTAAAGCATGCACATAAGTCTTCAAAAGGAGACTGGAGAAGGCTGTGAGAGCAACCACACTGAGAGACGACAGCTGGATTTGCCAGGGCACCCTAACCTCTGCTCCATTTCCAAAAACAGGTCTTGCACTTACATGTAAAAATTTCTATTAGGGCTTAGGGTCCAGCTGATGCAGAATATTGGCATATTGTTGGAACATATTGGAATACATTAGAATACAGCACTCAAGGTCAGTCCTGGCACTCAGAAACACCCGCATCAGTGAAAAATTGCCCAGGACTAAAACCCTGAATAAGATCGTCTTTCAGTTGTACTATGATCATGAGAATGTCATTCCCAGAAACCAAATATATGTGAACAGACTGTTGCACGTACTGCTTCCCTAGTTCCTTATAAATAACCCAAACTCCTGCTTTCACTTCCAGATTTCCGGAGCTCCACTCCTTCCCGCTCTGCCAATCTCCAGTTTAAATCTATTGACAGCTATTTCTTCTCATTCATTCACTTACCCGCAGCAGAACCTAAAAACTGAACTGTTACCTGCTTCCAAATTATTCTCTTCCCAGAGACCTCCATAAGGTCCTGGGTGTTTAACAAGGGCTTATTGCACTTTTGCGTTATCCTAGAGGACATGCAGGTCTTCCAAAAGTGGCTGGAGAAAGTGGAAGCATGTGATCAGCATAACAGCAACATACAGCATCAGTATGAATTCTCCACGTGGTGCATGATCCTTTATCACACCTGAGGACCTCAGCAACGGGCTGGGCTCCATCCCACCCTGGCTGCCACTGTGTGGTCTCTGCTGCAAGCCAGAACAATGCAAGGGGGGGAAAAAAGAGAAGACAGCAATGATCTCGGTCATTTGCTAAACATTTTTATGCATATCTTGATAAGCTCTTCAGGCTTTTATTGCCTGTCAAAGGGGAGTGATGTCCTGTTGCATCTGCGCGTGGGCCGGGAAGCACTCCCACCTCGGCACTGCCCCATCTGAAGTGGCCCCTGCTGCAGCCTTCCCTGAAATTCTGCTTCACCTCACCTCTCAGAAAAGAGAGAGCTGCAGTGGTTACTGTACATAGGAAACACTCTCCACCGTGTGGTGAGGAACAAAAGATTTGAGATTTATAGATTAATAATTTTTAGGGTCAACAACCTTTTGGAAAGTGATTACTCTGAAAAATATCTTCTTTTTCATATATCATTCATCTGACATATTTTTCAAATACTAGCTGTGATCATTCCAAATCAAAAAGGAATAACCTGTATAAAATCATTTAAAAACACACTGCTGAATTTTTCATTGGGAAAGACTTTAATAAATTCCAGATTCATTTAAAATTCTCTGGCTTCCTTGCTGAATAAACTACCAAAGCCCATGCAAGCCCCCATTAATTATTTTTTTTCCATGAGATCTCATGAGTTTGTCTTTTCTGAGGGATGTTTTAGTGAAGCCAGTTATTATACTGGCTTACAAGATTTAACTGCTAAACGTCTCATTTATTAATTTGCATTTACTTTTTGCTCTCTCCTCATTTCAAAATTGCTCGAAGTGACTATTTTTAAGGGGGTCTTAAGCTCATTTGTCATATGGTATTCTGCCAAACTGAGGTGAAAAATGTTTTATGTCCAAATTCTTACACCCTTCAATAGTGACTTCTCACCGTGATCTCAGAAGCTTCCTATTTTATAATTGCCAGCATAATCCTCAGGTGCGATACAAGGAATTCTGAGACTTTACACCAGCTAAGCATATGTCTCCACTGTTTTCTTACTGGATGTTTTAAAGAGTTCATCTCACCTAAGCTGAATATTTCCCAGAGACTTTCAAATAAAAGATAAACTTATAATCTGATTTGATATTATTAATAGATACTTTCTCAATGACAGTGATCTGCTGATCGAGTTCAGAATTTGGTCTCAAGAGTTGCAGGCAGGCAGGCAGGCAGGCAGGCAACGCATTCATGAAAGCACATAATTAAAAATCAGAGGACTGAAGAAGAACCCCAGAAGAAACACTGCTAACTACTTGGCTACTAGGGAACTATTTTGCTTTAATGGTATGGGCCCGCTTGAAAAAATAAATGCATGTATTTTTAGTTGCAAAAGTCTGTAAAATAAAAGTATCGCAGCTATTTTTTTCACAAAATTATTTGACTCTGTTGACACAAAGCATGTACATTTCTAGACAAAAAGTTATAAAATATTCTGACATATTTTAATATAAACAGGAACATTTTCAGTGATTGCTTGGATCTAAAATGTTTTTCCACTTGACATTTGTTTATACTTCCTAGGAAAGAAACTCTATTTATGGATAACTGAATAACACAAATAAACATCAGAGAGCGCTGAAAAATCAGCTTTGATTATGCATGAAAATCTACAATGTCATTGTGTACTCTTGTGCCGTATTCTGATTGCCTGTTTATTTTTACAGAGCTGCTGGCGAGCCCATGGAAGAAGAGCCAGCCTTGTGAAGTGCCAAGTCCTCCCTGATATTTCCTGTGGGTGACATCATTGTGTATCCCCCCAAAGCACCCTCAGACATGTCTTGTCTGCTGCTTGGGTGGCACAGATCAGATGGAACATAAACACTGGGCACAAAACTCTGAATAGCAGCTTCACTTGTTCTTTGGATGGACTTGAAAGGGCCCTAAAGATTCCTTAAATGTAACCGCTACAATTCTAGAGTTACAGTAAAACAATCTTGGGAGAAAGAGCCTAAAGCATGCTTTTTATATGCTGTTTGACCCGCTCACCAACATAAATTGTGAAATAGAGTATTGCAAAATTCTACATGATAGATTATAGATACGAGAATTGCAACAGCCAGCAAAATACTCGGTAAACTCCATGAATCACTTTCTGACACTTTTTACTGGGTAATTTTTTTCATACTGTGTTAAATTGTTAATAGAATTTGTTTTCTTTGCTCTGTGTAATGAAAAAGAAAAAAAAATCTGTATTTTACGTGCCATTTTTTAACCTCGTGTAATGAGTTCTTTGCTGAGTAAGTGAAAGGTATGTAAATTACGATGAGGGATTTTAGCTAAAGGGAAAGCACTTCTTATTGTACTATAAATCCCCCGAAAGACTGTGCTTGGTGGTGCTTTATTTACTTTTCCCTTTTCCTGGTCATCCCTCCCCATTTTATGTAATCTTTTCTATCATAAAAGCACATTCACGATTCTCTAAAACGAGCAACCTTCTGCCTTTAAAAAAAAAAGTGCTGTACCCTCCGTAGTTGACAGTAGCTCCCACCAGATGTGCAGCAGAGATCAAGTAGTCTCTGAAAAACGGATGGCTTTTTCAAATGTGTTTTTAGTTTGTTCTGAAATGTTTCTGCGTCCTGACTGTAAGAGCAGCGATCTTCAGTAACTGCGTGCAGCTCATTTGAAGCTCAGGTGTTTCTGCGGAGGTTGTGCTGGGGGTGTTTTTTACAGGTCGTCGTGTGAATACGAACTGATTCTTTTATGTAGTCCTGCACCGAGAGAACTGATGTTGCTTAAGAAGCTTCAAAGGGTTCAGGCTTTATTTTAGATCCCCAGAGTGCAGCGAGATCTCCCTGCAATGTGACTTTAGCTGTTTAATTCCATGTTTGAGAACGTAACATAGAGTTGTGCCTTTAGCTGATAACGAACGCTTAAACTGTTACACGTGTTGCCTTACTGTCAGAGAAAGAGATAGGGCATGTGTGTAAGACTACTTCAAATGAACAAAACTCTGCTACAGCAACTTTTATTTTGCTTACAACTTTCTCACCTAATGAACCCTGGGAGATACCTTGAAGTATTTGACTTGCAGTATTTGATAGCCCGCTCAGCTTTTAAAAGCAAGTGATGTTCATTTTTAGATATTTTTCCAAACTCAGAAGATATATTAAAGCCATAAGTGAAGACTGTCATGCTTTTTATTCTGAAATCTGAAAGGAACCTTAATTAAAACAAGATTTTGGGGAAGGCCATGATATGAAAGATATGGAACAATATGGTTTCAGTTATAAGCAGACTCAAACCTGTAAATCAAAGATGAAAGATTTCACTCAAATAGAATTATATAATTCTCTTTTGTTATGCAGTCAGACTATATCTTTCATGCATTTGGGTTTGTTTACGATTAGCATTTTAATTTTAAAGACTTTTATTACTTATACAAAATTTCTCTGCTACAAGTTAGAAATCTGAGGCATGCTTTGAAAAGGGAAATCTAAAAAAGGAATGTCATTTCCTATAATGTGAAGTAAACTTTTATTCTGAAAGGCTTACTCTAAAATGGATGTCTGCCCCTCAGAAAGTGAAATAAAATTCTACCCCCCATTTACAAGCCAAAATCATGCTCATTTTAGTAATGCAAAGAGTCCCAGCAGGCTAAATTAACTCCTGGTGTAAGCCACCTTGCCTGACTTCGGGCTGTTCTGAAGGGGTTGTTCACATGACTAAAGCAATCAGGAGTTCATCCTGTATTTTCAGCAGACTTGTGATGTCAATCTTACTTGCCATTTATTGTAATTTTCTTGTGGTCATCAAAGAAGTTTCCTTTCAAGGAAACCAAGGACCATAGCTGATGAGTTGGGTAATTTGTAGAGCTTTTCACATTTGGAAATACTGGCTGCAAAGTTTTAATTGAGTGCATAGTAAGATGATTTTGAAATTAACACCACAAATGCAAAATCTGCTTGTGTCCTTAACTTGCATGAAATTGGATATGAATTGCAGCCTGAAATGTGAGTTACAAACTTTACCAATTAAAGCCTATATTCTGGGGTGGAAATCAGCTAAAGCTGTCCTTTGTAGCTGGAAATGCTTTTAAAATGCCAGAATAATTTGAATTAAACCACATGATAAACTCACACTTATGCATTTGTAAAGACATACTCCCAGACAGACATCTAGACATGCTATTGGTTAAAGTTAGGATCATTTGGATAAGCAAATGTGCAAATAAACTACACACAGATTGTGTCCAGAACTTTGTTCTCACCGAAGTCAACAGCAAAATCCTCTTTGATTTCAATGGGAGATGGATCAGCTCCCCCCCCCCCCCCCCGCCTTTTTTTTTTTTTCTTTAAGTCCAGAACACCATTACTTTTTGATTATGTCATTACAAGGCACCGTACAGCCCTCTGGGAAATGATCGAGGCTTATGGTGAATATCAACACTTCCTTCAAAGCAGACCTGGGCTTTCTGAGAGGGCAGTTTCACTTGCTGCTGTTTTCTTCTCACAGTATTTTTTATTACCATCAATAGCTCCCCATGGATTACAGCTAAAATATCTCCCAGTAATTTTAGACATACTTCCAGGGAAACATTTACATAGACACTCTTAAAAATGCCCAGTTTTAGCTGGATTCCACAAAAAATTCCAAGAATTTCGGAAAGATGCATGAATTGCATGTTTCTCCATTTCTACTGTTCAAATTCAGAGGCTTAGGAGCTGGTTTTGAAAAGAAGTCGCAGTCTCATGTCTCACATGGACCTAAGCTCAGGCTGGGGATATTGACACCTCTGAAAATTAAGTCCCAGATATTTCAAGCTGGCTGTCAAAATATCTCCCTCTGAGCTTAGATTACTTCTAAAAATGAGCTGAAATGGATAAACGAGGGGGGGTAAATGGCAGTTACTGTGAGTGATTCCACGGAGAAGGTGAAGCTGAGGAGGTGACAGAGAGCCACTGAAGCCAGGGTGACTCTCTGCCTGGTGCTGGTGGCACAGGGGCTGCAGGCGAGCGGGAGGACATCCCACAGCACCACCGCCCCAGGCCGCCATTGCCATTAGCAGCAAATCCTTGCCTCGCAAGGGAAGCGCGCAGGAATTTGCCTCTGGAACAAGGTGTCCCTAATGCACCAACCTCCAGAATCAGAGACATTTCAGCAGCAAGTCCTGCTAACATGCTTGCTCCAGTTTATATTTTTCCCTAATGGTAGAGACTGAATATTGAGCGCAATGGGGCTTTTCTTGTATTCTTGGTTTTTTCTTGACTTCTTAGGTCATTAAATACTTTTCTTGTATTCTTAGATCCTTAAATTAGTGGTAGAAAATGAAAACTAAAAAGTAATATGACTCAGAATATCAAGAAAAGAATTATTTTTATCTGGCTTAATGCTTTTACCGGGGCTGGAGTGAGAACAATGATGAACGCTAAACCTCAGAACTGCTAAAACACAAGAGAGTCTTGCACTTCAGTTTTGGACTCTGTGTGCAGGAGTTCTGTATGTGCTCATTTGGCTTTAATATAATCTGCAGCAGTGAAGTGCTTGATTATATGATCCTTTTTCAGGCAAAATTCCTAGCAAGTAATCAAGGTTCATGGGAATTTTGCCAGTATAAAGATGACAGAATTGGTCCCTTTTTAATTAGGTACCTTCCTAATTTTACTTTCAGTGAAAATGAAGTAACTAATTCTAGGCAAGTGAATTTGAGGAAAATAAAATCATTAAGCTATCTTAAATAAACATAATAAAATAAAATAAAATATAAACAGCTGCAATGCAAAGAAAGACGACTGGTTTTTTACTTTGCAAAAAAGTCAACAACATGCTGCCAGCTGAACGAGAGTGGCAAAACGAATCCCTCTCTAGAGCAAGTGGTATTTGAGTTGGTGTCTTATCTAAGGGCAGTCTCCCTAAAAAGCTGAGAGTTATAACCAGAGATGAAATATTAGAAAGGTTTTGCTGCAGCCAACACCAGAGGTCCTGTAGAGAACAAGAATGTAGAGACTGACTAATTTGTGTAGACAGACAGCAGGACACTTTCGGGGCAATGTGTCTGGGACGAAGAATTAGAGGGAACTTTTCCAAAGGCACTGATGGCTGTGAGGCAACTAACTTCTGTTAGCTTGCAGGGGCAAGGAGGTGCCTGGGGAACACTGATGCTTTGGGAAGTGCCCCCTCTGTCCCACGAGCATGCCCACACACATGCAGACATGAACCTCGCTGCACAGCGTTTTGGCCTAAACAGCAGCAGCCAGGTGTGCTGCCCTGATGTGGACGCTGGGCATTTGCCCGAGAAGCTATCAGCAAACACTTCATAACATAACCGATAGGGGAGATTTTTGTAATTTTTATTTTTTTTTTTGTCGAATAGTGGCCTTTCCAGAAGTGTAGCTGTGCACGGTTGTTTTATTTTAAAAGGTCACAATAGAGCTTTGTGAACCATTGTACTTTTTTTTTTTTTTTTTTTTTTTTTACAGACTCCATATGGAAGTAAACCAGAATCGGTACATGGGAGGGGAACCTGTTGGGAAAGAATTTAACTTAAATCGAGCTTCTGCTTCCTGCTTTTCATCCTGAATTTGGAGGAGTTTGGGTTCTTAATTATCATTTAAGCTTTTACTTTGTCATGTTGCTCACTTTGGTTTTTTACCTATAATTGAATTCACCCTTGTAACACATAGAAAATCACCAAAAAAAGGTCTGTTTTTCTGACAGATGCCTCTGCCCTCGGTATGGGAATAAGACTAGCTTATCTTTGTCACTTCTAGCAGCAATTAAATGCTTCATTTTTGTGATAGATCCAAACTGGAGTGGTATTTTATGAGTTCGATTTAGCTGGCTGTCTGCTGATGGTTAAAAAAAGAAATTGTGAAACTCACATTCCTCTCTAACCTCAAAAGGGACCCATTTTGATTTTAACAATGTAATATTTTCACTTGATCCAAAAGGTTTTTGTCCCATGACATCTTGTTACTAGCTCAGTTTTAGTCTCTAGCAAATAGCACACCACAGAGAGCAAAGACCAAAAAGGACATTCCAGCAACTATTAATTATATCTCTTGTGCACAATCCTTCGTCCTGCTCTAGTGCCATGCCTTGTGTTTCAGCATGTTAGAAGAGTTTATAGCAAAATATAAATTGTTCTGTGCCATCAAAGATACTACTATTCAGATGTTAATTAGGACACTGTGAGTCGGGCGGTAATTTATAAGGAAGGCATGCTCCTGTGTGGATGGTCTAAAGGCAAGTGACGCGTGAAACCAGTGGCACTGATACTGTGCAGTGAGAGTGATTCTGTGCTAAGATCTCCACACATTATCCCCATTATCCCTCCCCACGGTACGCCTGCATGGCCAGAGGCACATTTGCAATAGCAGAGCCATAGGACGCCGATTCAAAGACCACTGAAATCCCTTCTCTGACAGGATTCGGGTAAGATCTGGGAAGCAGCTAGAGAAGAAAGCTTAACCTTGCGCTCAGCCACACACAAACTGTAAAAAAAGTGCAGGTACAGATCTGAACTTGGCCACACATCCCTGTTTCTGATATGAAGTGCCAGTTCTGCTTCTAGAAAAGTCTGTCTGAAAGAGCATTGACAGTAGTGGATATGTTCTATTGACTTCAGCGGGCTTCAGGAGAGTGTATATGTCGTGTTATGGGAACAGGTTCATATTCATGTCTCTTGCAGCTTACTGCTATTTTAAATTTCTTGATTGCTTTAATATTCCAAGTTAGGATGCAGTAGGAAAGCATAAACCTGTACCTGGTGAAGTCATAACTAAAGCTTTCAAAGCAAACTTATTGCCCTGGGTTTTTACAACACTGACTTTTGGGTCTAGGGATGCACAGCTAAAATTTTCCTGGGAAATTGATGTTGCTATCTGTTTCTATGACAAAAAACAGTCCTTTTGCTCAGAGCACTAAAAGTTTATCTGTAATTTGTTTTTCCACGCAGATCAGATGCTAAGGGATAAAGCATCAGTGGGACCGACCCAAAGGGCAAAATTTTTAAAGGTCAATAGTAATATTTGCATAAGAGTGAAAGGAACCTGCGGATTATTGTTATTATTCCTGATACATTTTTGTATCTGAAAGCATCCAATGAGTAATGTTAAGTAATAATGTGCTCCAAAACTTTGTTGATTATAGATATATGAG